CCTGAGTCCAGGGCTTCCCTGAAGGAAGAGAGAGGGACTTGGAGCCTTCAGGTCCGGGGAGTCCTGACCACCAGGAAATGAGGGATTCCCTTGCCACCCTCAGCCCCAGCCCCAGCTGATCCTACGGAAAGCTTACGCGAGCTCTAGCGCAGGCACGGACCCGATCTTTCCATGGCTATGTAGCGAGCGCTTCCTATCCCCCACCCCTCGCATCTTCAATGGGGGTCTCCAGCAACCTCCCACCGCCCCCTCCACTTGGTGCCCACATTCCCGCTCTTCCCCCGGGCCTTTCAAGCGGAGCCCTTCTCCGAGGATTGGCCTCTATGACTCGGGTGGGCGATGGTCGCATCTCTTCCAGGAAGGGGTTCCTGTCGAGCATCAGCGTTTGCGGGAGAGCGACACCACATCTCTTACAGCTGAGCGGAGCGCCCCTCTGGCCCCCCCACCCCACTTCAACCAACCGGCGGGTTACCTAGGCAAAGCCTCCGCGCCTGGAAACATGTTCTGCCGCTCCTGCTCGCGGTCTCCGGGGCCGGGAGCACGGAGCCTCGGGGGTTGTAAATTAGGAAGAAACAGCTACCTCTGTCAAAGCCCCTTTCTTTCTCGTGGGCAGACGAAAGGCACACCCCCGTGTTCCCCTCCCGGTAGTGAAGCGTGTGGAGGAAACCGTGAAACGCACCATTGTGACCCGGGCTCCTCCGCGGAGTTTCCAACCCTGGGGAGCGGGGGCGGAGGTTGGGCGGGGGCAGGAGGAGTGGAGGAGAGACCGACAGAAAGGGAAACACAGAGATTCTCAGAAAGACGGAGGGAGAAAGAGGAGACAAACCGCGGGGAGAATTCCTGAGAGCGCACGGTCGCAGGGAAGGGCGTGCGTGGGTACTTGGAGAGGGAGCTGGTGTGGAGGCTGCGATGGCCTAAGGCGCCTTTGATATTCACATTAGAGCATCTTGTTCAGCTAAGATAACCTGAATAAACTCTAACTTCACTCATCGTGCCCAGTAGCCGCGTTGGGCAGCTTTTTCTTTCCCCAACTTAGTTCTATAAAACATTTCTTCGTCGTGGGAAAAGGAGATTCAGGATTGAATTCGTGATGAAATGACTAAACAGGCGCCCTGTACCTCTCTCCTGGCACCCCAAGGCTCTGGGATAACAGCCCGAGATTTCTGATTACCAACTCCCTTGCTGCTCTTCCCTCTAAAGTATCTAGAGGCATAAACATACGGCAGTGTTCAAAAACGTTCTTTGGAATCAATGGCCAAACGCTTTCTCCCTCACGACTGCCCCAAGCTTCCAACAGGTTCGAGAGGTGCCTTTGGAAGTCAATCTCCACAGGCTGCGTTGGCACGACTGTTCTCTTACCACCGAGAACTTTCGTTTCTATTGAGAGTAAAACGCTCTGAGCAACTTCTCCAAAAGCGCGAGTTCTGTCAGTTAAGAGTAAAACATGCCTTTCCCACACGAGCCAAGCCCGGAGACGAGGGACACGGTCCCCACGCGTGTCGGGCCGCGGGAGTCCGCAATTACACGCGATTACCTTCGAAGGGAAAAGTGTAAACCGGCCAGTCTGCGACGACGGGCAGACGTGTCCAGTCGAGCCCTAGGCTCATTTCAATACAATAAGTCACATTCTTACGATTATGCCCTTTCCCGAGATCCTCGGAGCGCCTTTGCAAACTCCGGCTGCTGTTGCCCAGGCCCCTTCCCTTCCAGTCAACCACTCAGAGTCACCATTAGGTGTATTAACTAGGACCCACCGGAGCCCCTATCTTTTTAATCCTAGTTAAAAGGCAGGAAAATTACTGCCGTTCATCACTGGAGCTGCAACTCCCTGCCGCTGCCGCCGCTGCCGCCGCCGAGAGCATCATTACCATGACAACTAGAACCGAAATACCCTGAATTACATCGGTGGAGCTGCTACCGCACAAATCCTGGTCCTCCTCTTTGTTAGAGGCTTTTCGCCTCTTTGGGTGGGGGCCGAGGGGAGAGGAATCCCGCGAGCCCCAGAGATCTCCATGGGCCTGCTACAGGGGAAAAGTTTCAGATAGGAACCCACTGGTCGCTCGCTCCTCAAGCAAAGCCTCAGTGAGGAGGTGAGGGGGGGAAACCCCCACACTCAAAGTTGTCAATTTCGGAGGGACGCTTCCTAGAGCGCCAACTTTTTAGCAAGTCCCCCAATTCACTGTGCGAATCTCATACGTACTTGAATGCTGTGGCGGTTCCGTCTTTAGAGCGAGTTTCTAGAAAGCTGTCCCGAAATCTGCACTGGGAGGGGAGTCACAGCTGCTGTCCCGGAAGGGCTGCGATGTATAAGCCCAGCGGCTCCCAGAGACGGTGCGAGGCTGGCAGGGGATGCTGTGATCCCGACTCATGGGAGAGCGCCGCCGTGGAGTTCCGCGGGCGTCCTGGCTCCGGCCACGACCAGGGGGAAGGATGCCGCCGCTATTCCCACCTCCAAGGCCACCGCCTGTGCTGTCAGCGTTGCAAAGTGAGCTCCGGAGGGGCGTCCGGCTACCGCGCGGTGCTGCACCGGCGAGGACGCCGGGTGAGAGGGGTGTGAGCGCACCGGAGAGAGCGGAGTATGTGTGCGGAGCGTGTGTGCGCGCGTGTCTGTGTGCGAGTGAGGGAGCGGGTGTGAGCTTGTCTGTGTGTGGGGTGCGGAGGAGGAGCAGGAGCTGGAGGGGTGGGGGGCGGGAGGCAGGAGACTCCGCTCTCCCGGCTGCGCGTTCGCTCGCTCTCTCGGCACGTCATTTATGCCACAGGAGCCCTAGCGGCCTCTCCATAGAGTGCCTGGAATGCGAGACGTCAATGTGACGCCATGGGACGCTACGTCACCCTCCTCCTCCCTCCCCCTGGCCCAGCCGGTTCCGCGTGTGCGAGGGAGGGTATGTGTGCATGTGAGCGCGCGCGCTGTTCCCCGGCCATTCGCCGGGCGGCACAATGGAAACTACTCGGCGCAGCCAGCCTCAGCCCGCGGGCCTTTCGGACGCGCGCTGGCAACCCCTTTGCAGTGGCGCTGCTCGCCTGGGCACGATCCGGCGAGTGGGAGCAGCAGCCCGCCGGCGGGTCAGGCGGGACCTCCCAGCTGTCAGGCTCGGGTGGAGTAGAGTTGGAGGAGTGCTGCTGGCGCGCCTCCGAGGCTGCCCCGAGGCAGGGAGCCAGGGCGAGGGGGTAAGGGAGAGGACAGCTCTTCCGAAAGGGAAGGCTCCGCCAGCCAGCTTCTCCGAGTGACCTGGCAGCCAGTGCAGAAGGAGTCAGGCACCAACCCAAAGACTCCCTGAGGTGCGGCTGCGCTTTCTGCCAGCAACAGTTCTAAAACTGTTTACGGCTCTCTGGCCCTCTGCACCTTAGGCTAATCCCTGTCCTCCCATCATTAGCTGGGTGCGTGTTTCCCACAGGGATGTAGGTAGCTCCGGGAATATAAGGTTTGACTTCTTTATACTTAAGTTGTGAGTTTCCTGACTGGACCCATATAACCCAACTAAATGCACATCAATCATCCACGTGCGCGCCGCAGCAGAAACTAAGTGTGTGTAAAGCACACACGTGTTGAACAGCTGAGCGGGTCAGACTGTTGCGAGTGTTCCCCAACCCCTCCCTTGTCAGAAATGGAACTCTCAGCTCGCACTTTCACTTTTTGATGGTTGTAGCCGGGCCTCTCCTCCCACCTCCCAAATTAAACATTTCGAAATCAATCAACGGGATTTATTAGTCAGTCCCTCCCTAAGGGATTTGATCTGGTCTCCTGGGATACATTTGTCATTAAGTGGTGTGCCGAAAGCCTGGGCGACCGTGAGGGAGAGCGATTTCTTTCTGGAAATGATGAATTTAAGTGCGAATTTCTTGCTGGAAACAAAAACAAAATTTTATCAGAGTTAAAGGCTCCTCGTTCCGAAGGTTGCATCCGGGTGAAAGCAACCTCTTTTAAAGAAACGCATGTTTAAGGAGAAACAATGCAGACAGACATGGACCCCGTGGGTCCACTTGAATCAGATGTGACATAGTTCTTTGACCTGTCACAATATTTGAGGGTGTTGGGGGGGCGGAGAGGAGGGAGGATCCCGTTGTCCACAGCACACGTTTCAGAATCGAAGAAGATTCTATCTAGCACCAGAAACTTGAAAACAAAACTAATATTACATATAGGACACGGGTATATTTCTCCCCCTAACTTCCACTGGAGACAGGGTGGTGTGGAAGAGACCGTGGGAGAATGCCCCGAAAGTTGACCTGGCAGAGAGGAACCGAGCCTCTGCCCAGCCCTGGGTTCCAATCCAGTCTCGGAAGGAAGGAGGGCGCTGCTGCATTGTATCCATTCAAAGCTAGGAGCTAGGAGGTGGGGGCAGCAGGACCTGGAGCCGCGCGTCGCTGACGCACGCGAGGCGCGTGATTGACGCAGGCGATGTTACTAAATTCGGAGGTTGGCTGGGCCCCGCCGCCGGCGCGCGCTGCAGATAGCGGAGTAGGTTCCCCCTCGGTCACCCCCGCCCCTTCTCCATTCAGCGCTGTGCGGGGCGGGGCTCCCGGGCGGGCGGGGTGGGTTGGGGCGCGGTGCGCGTGGCCGCGTCTGGATCCGGCCACACCAAATATAGTTGGGCCTGGCTATTTTTAGCTGGGCCTCGGGAGCGAGCGCGCCCGCGTGAGGGGGCGCCCTGACCCCGCCAGGGATACGGAGGGGGCGGGGGGCGGAGTCGCCATCTTGGACTCTGCTCGACCCCGTCTGGTGACCGGCCACGCTGGGCCGGGGCTCGGCGCTGGGGGTCGGGGGTGAGTGGGTGTAAGCGGTGGGAGAGGGCGGCGCGGGCTGTGACGGGAGAGGAGGGCGAGGCGCGGGCGCGGGGTCCACCGTGAGGGGTGGCGCGGACGAGGCAGCGGGGCGCGCGCGTGTGTGTAACGGACGGTGATCTCGGCCGCAGCCGGCGCGGCTGTCCAGCCACCCAGTGGCCTGGCTAGACCCAAGTCGCGTGGGGGCGGAGCCGCCCGCGGCCACCACTTCCTGAGAGCCGGGGATACCCCTCCCGGACGTCACGGAGGAGCCGAGGCCGCGGTGGAGGCCCGGGGCTCATCCTGCACTTGCATCACGGGTGCAGCAGCAGCTGCTCAGCTCCTTTGTGGCTTTTTCCCCTGTTGAGTAACTGCTTTGTTAACTGAAAATACCATGACGGGCCAGTGTGATCACCAGCTCCAGACCTCAAAGAAAGTGAAGCTGTCAGACAAGGAGAGGGAGACTCCCCTAGTCGGCTGCGATGATATCTGGTGGGTGGGTGTGTAGAGAAGCACTTGACAGTTTCCACGTATTACTTCTTGCCTAACTAACTCTTCACCCCCAAGAGTGTTTAAAAATACTTTTATTTCCATGCTGTAAAAATTTCATGTGTTCTGCACCCCGCCCATTCCCCCTTCAATTTGAAGTCTCAGGCAGAATTGGAATCACAATTTAGTAGGAACCCTAAAATTAGGTACAGTTTTTAGGAAACAGGACGTCTTTCATTGAATTCATTTAATAAGCTGCGTTTTCTAAACGTTAATGTATAAAAGGTCCTTGCCCACTCACAGTAGTTATAAAGCTACTAGCCAAGTTTGTTCATATGAATTGGGCTCCCTCAGTGACAGTTTTAAACCTGTATCTTTGTTTACCTTGAATTTAAAAAAAGAATTCCATTCCTTGCTGATTATCTCCAGGTAAAGCATTTCTCGCTCTGAGTAGGTGTATCTTTCTGGACGTCTATGTTCATTAATTCTGTGCTTTCCTCCCCCGACCCCCTCCTTCCATCCTCCCCTTCTTGAGTATCAGTCACCAATCTTGGTTCCTTGATGATTGTTAGGCTGAGGGCTGTTGTCTGATTGCCCAGAGCCAATCAGCTGGCTTAGTGCTCCTATGGGTAGGAAGCTGGACTGACTGCTGGAGAGGTTTCAGTGGTCCCTGATAAGTGGCAACATTTCTGCACTCAAATGGAAAGTCATGGAAACAGAGACGAGGCTCTGTTATTACAGAGTGGGACACCATCCTCTGCTTAACCCTGTAATAGGTCCCTAAACATGTGCAATTCTTTAGGTGACCTCAAGTGTAATGGATCATTCTATTCTCTTTCAAATTAATAGCTATTGTTCTATACCTTTTCAAAAGTCTGATTTACTAGAAATCAGGCATAATATTCTGTAAGGCATATGTATGACTATTTCGGTAATCTAAATTTCCTTTTTGATGACTTAAACAAAACTTAATACTTTATAATTAAAATATCTTCTTTTAGGAAATCAAGTGGAATAAGACGACCAGGGTCTCTGAGGTGTTGAAAATGTACCTGATTTGGTCCTTTTTCTAGAAGAGGGACATTCATATTTATGTCCTAGTTTATATACACAAAGCAAAGAAAGCAGTTTCTGCTTTCATGATACTTATGGCAGCCAATCTGTTAACTCTTTCTATGAAATAACTATTACAGGTCCATTGGATAATTAACTTTCATTTTGTTTTGGTTTTGTAGGTAGAGTCTGTCTGCAAGAAAGAACATAAAATACGAAATTTGGGAGAAATTTATTGTGTGTGAGACAAAGCAATTGCTATAACAATGTGGAATTTAAACAATTGCTTTAAATGCTCTTCTGATTAAGCAATGATATTATAATCTTGTTGACTATACTATTATGTAAAGAATGATAAAACAAATGATGATGAGTCTTAGTAATGCAAAGATTGGGTGAGGAAAGGTAAAATAAAAAATTCAAGCCACAAGTTGTTAACTAGGGTGAATATAGGAAGGAAAAGTAAAAAAATAAAAAAATAAAAAAAACAGTATGAGTCCAAGTTTTCTAGAATCAGCATAGAAGTTCTATACTACATTTAAGATATGTATATAAAACTTTTAACTTGAGCTGACATTGATTTATATACTTAAGTGTACTGGGCTCAAGAATGTGAACTAATGTAATAGTTTTCTGTCCGACCTACCTGCATACTATCTGTTCCTTGTCAATTCTGTCATTGCCAGATCACTCTTCCTAAAATACGGCTTTTGTTATGTCATTCTTGGGCTCAAACATCTTTAGCAGCTGGACTTTGTCTCTACAATAAAAGCCCAAAGCCTTCACATCCTGGCCTCTTAATTTTCACAGGACTTCCCTGTGCTAGTCAAACTGGTATCCTCACTGTTCTTCAAACATCCTTTCACCCTCCCACATTTGTTCATAGTTTTCCTTTTTATGGCATTCCCTTCTTCTCTGCTTATTGAAATCTTACCCTTCCTCTACAGCTAGCTCAAGAAATGAACTCAGATTATGCTTTAGTCTTTCATAAGCTTCTCATTTTACTGCCTTTTTGTGTTCTTGTGTCTGTTGCTTGTTCTCCTGTCAAACTATAAGCTTCAGAAGCATGCCTCACACATCTTTGAGATGTCTGTGGAGCCTAAATTTAACATAGACAGGAAATACCCATAAAATATCCCCCCATTTAAATTTGAATATGAATTGAGAATGGCTATAATATAAGTAACAAATTGTGTGGGTTAGGATATTCTTGGCATGAGTAGAGTATGTGAGATCATACAGTAGTTGTTTTCTTTATCTGAACTTTCGATACTCCTGATTGAATATATCTTGTCAAGGTGCCCGCCACAAGCCCAGGCAGCTGCATGGTATTACAAGGAAATTGCAGTTTGGCCTGTACCTGTTATATCTGCGTAGATAGATTTGCTTATGATGATTCTTTTCTGATAAACTTTTGGTTTCACTCTTATTCTACCCTCTTTCCCCTTCTATGTGTACTTTTTTTTAGGCTGCTTCCTATTAGTGCTGAACTGGATGCTGTAGGCTAGGAAATTTTCATATCAACTTCTTTGGAAAAAATTTCTTAAGGTTTAGAGAATTGAGAACCATGATATCTATGCATAACCAGTTAAAAATAAAAATTCTTGAACTTCTTACACTTTCCAAAATGTATTTAAATAAATTTTATAACTATATATATGCAGAAGTAAACTAGGCAAAGAGATTTTGGAATTATGATTTGTCAGAAGTTTTAGAGAAAAGCCCATGTGACTTAGAATATTAAAATTTGACAAAGAAGAAATATTATAGCTCAGGAAAGATTTTCTATGTTATAGGAAATTTTGGTAAAAAGTGAAAACCCAAGATGGAATGATTGCTTAGTAGTGTAAGTGCTAATAATATTTTAACATCTCATTAAGTAATATTTTTCTATTCATTAGTAAATAACAGGACATGCTTGCAATCTGGTTAAAAAGATAGTTTATTTCTTATGTTTTCCCCAGTCTCTTGTAAACTCTGGAAGACCACAGTGATTCGGGGGACAAAAGCTGTTACTCATGTGTGATAAATCAATTCAGTATATTATTTCTGCCTGAGAAATAAGATCTGCATTTTAGCTAGAGTTGACAGATGAAGTAAATATCTCTTTTCACATATAACTACACAACCCTTTCCCATCGCCTAACTCTGAAAAAAAAGAAAAAAGAAAGAAAAAAAACGATTGCCTCACATATACAAGAACAGTTCCTTCAGCATATTCTCCAAGAGTGGGATGCTGTATTTCACAGAGACCACTAGATTGCTTCTCAGAGGCCTGGATCTGACTCTGCTGCAATGATGCTGCAAAGCCTTGGGTAAGTTAATTCATCTTTTGGGAGGCCTTCATATCATCATCTGTAAAATGATAGTGTTGAGCTCATTATATGATCTTTAAGGACCTTTCAGGTTGTAAAGTTGGATGCTCTTTAGGTTGGTTAAACACTGTGAATCATGAGTCAACTCTGGCCTGTTCTGTCACTGCCTGATTGCTGTAGTCAGGAGGCTCGTTAAACGCTTTTGTATTTAACATGCATGCTTATAGTAGTAATATTGGTAGTATTATATTAAACTGCTTTGACTTGCATGATAATTAACTGTAGCCATTGAGTGGGATCTTGGTGACCTGAGAGAGTTGGTGTACCACCAGCCTTATAGCCTTCACCTGTCCATAAAGTGGAAATAAGCAGAAACCTGGATAGTCCAAAAGTCATTTTATATTTAGCTTTGAAATTTGTTTTTGTACAATCACTTGAGTATGGATGCATCACAAATTGACTTCATAAAAATTAATAAACTTTCATTGGAATGGATTTTCTTGTTTGTTCCTCCTCAGTTCTTTTCTGATCTTCACTGCATGCTAGGCATAAGCCGTTTCTTCTTAAATGTTGCAACCAAGGCAGAACTGTCCTTTCTGCTTTTTTCTAGAGAAGGACTGGTGATCGTGGGGTTGCAAGGTTTTGTATCTCCTTTTAAAATGTGAGTGGAGAAAGTGAAATAAGAAGGCAGGTCAGAAGGAAAGTACCAAATAGGTATTAAGTTGCAAAAACGTTAACGAAGCAAGCAGAAAGAATACAATAAAAATTTTTTTTCCCAAACTTGTTAGGTTTGCATTTGGGTACATCCTTATGGATAAATAAGAGCTGAGTGTGTAGGCATTGGGAAATACCTTAATTTTAACACATTGCAGGTTGATGTATTATCTAAGCTTAGATAGTAAAAACATGGTTTGTCCATTAATTTAGGGCTATTTTTTAAATGCCTGTTCTATATATTTAGGTATCTGGTTTCCTGCTTAGATCATGTAATTAGTAACTGATTCTGATTTTTTTTTTACCATTATACATTTTCCAGTATTTATTCCTCATGTTTATAGTTCACTGGAAAAATTCCTCTCTAACATCTGTTCCGAATTAGTGCCCTTTTCCAGTTATGTTTTTTCTGTTTTATCAATTGTCGTAATGAGAATAGAAAGACATATTTTTAAAAATTAAATTTATTGGGGTGACAATGGTTAGTAAAATTACATAGGTTTCAAGTGTGCATTTCTATAACACATCATCTATATATCACATTGTGTGCTCACCACCCAGAGTCAGTTCTCCTTCTATCACCATATATTTGACCCCCTTTACCCTCTGGTAACCATTAAACTGTTGCCTGTGTCAATGAGTTTTTGTAGAAAGCCATATTTTAAAGATTTAAGCTATTTCAATTTAGTAAAGTTGAAATAAACTACCATACTATTTGTAATTTCTGAAAATGATTCTTATTTAAATTCACATGTAAAATAACTATTTTCACTTTTCAAAAACAATAGAATAAGTTGGATAAAATTTGAAATCAGTTTTGTAGCACTTTATAGTTATCAATTGATTTTTTAGTGACTTTTTCATATTTCAAAAATTTTTTGAGAGAAGCTTCTATTTATCTCAAAATCTTATAAAATGCATTTTTATTTAAATTATCTTGGCCATATTTATTTTTGAAGATGAATTTATTGAGCTCTTAGAACAGTTCTTGGCACAGAGTAGGTGCTCTTTAAATATTTGATGAATGAATGAAAGCAGTTTTCAAGAAGCTTTATTCAAAAAATTCTATTTTCTTTATCCTAACCAGCCTCATGGCCTTATTAATTTTTCCCAGAGAGTTTTACTCAGGGGTTAGGCAAAACAGAGGAGTGGAGAAGGCCGCCTGTACGTTGTATTGCTGCATTACACCTCTCTGTCCCACTGTTGCAACTAATTTTCTAGTTGTCCCGAGTTATGTCACTCTGTGACATCTGTGTTTGAACAGTGAACCAATTCAGGTACCCTAAGGAATTGTACCACCTTTCAACTCCAGTACCCCAAGAATTAACCTCTGGCTTATCTCTTTATATTGATGTGCCACTTTAGCTCTGACGGTTTCACAAGATTGTGTTCTTCCCTCTTCACTGTCTCTGCCCTGGGCATATATTAGTGAGTTTTTCACTTCTAGCCATCATATTTCCAATGCTAACCCTGACTTGCTTTCCAGTTCTGAATGCTGCTATTCAAGGCCTCCAGTCACTTGTGTATCACCTATCACCCCCGTAGACTGAGGGGCCCAAGTGTAGAATCTTATCTAGGAACTCAGATTATATCTACTAAACATTTAATCTAGTAAATATTTTAAGATTTAACTTTTAAAAAGGTTATGCATTCACATGATTCAAACAACAAAATGTTTAGCAATGGAAAGTTTCCTTCCACCCCTGTCCCCCATTTGCTCAAGTCCCATCCTCCCGGAGTTTTTAAATGTATTTTTAAGCCAATGCAAATATAAATTCTCTTTTCCTTTCCTTCTTTATACAAATGGAAGCTTATATGTATTCTACCTTTTTCATTAAATGGTGTACTTTAGAATTTTTTCCTAAGAAACAGAAAAATATCCAAAATGTACTTCACTTGAACAGTTTATCTTGGCGATCTCGTCCACATCATTGTGTGGCTGTAGCATCATTTATTTAACCAGTCACATATTGATGGACTTTGCGGAAATTTTCAATCTCTTGCTGTTATGAACAATGCTGCAACAATTGATTTGTTACATAGATTATTTCACACTTGTGAAATATGTTTGTAGGGTAAATTCCTAAAAGTGGAATAGCTGACCAAAGAATGTATCTTATGGTAGTTTTATAGGTATGACCAAATTGCTCTCCATAAAGGTTGTACAGTTTACACCCCCACCAGAAATGTGCAAGAGTGCCCGATTACCCATATTCTTGCCAATAAAATATGTTATGAACTTTAGGATTTTTTCCAATCCGATACGTAAAAATATTATCTTAGTGTAGTTTTTATTTCTATTTCTATTATGAATGAGTTTGAATATCTTTTCATGTTTAAGAGCCATTTATATTTACTTTTTATGAAATGTCGCATATTCTTTGCCTATTTTGGGAGGGGCAAGGTCGCTTAAAAATAACCTTGTGGCCAACATTTATATTATGGAGACTGGTCCTTTTTAATATGAGTTGCAACATACCTCTCCCCTCCCCCTAGTTCGTCATTTGTTTTTTGTCTTTGCTTATGGTGTTTTTGCTCTGTAGGTATTTTTCTAAAATGTAGTTCAATTTATCAGTCTTCTCTTTTATGACTTTTGGATTTTGTGCCATAGTTATAAAAAATCCTGCCTCACCACAAGGTTGTAAAAAAACTTCTCATATTGTCTTCTACTACTTTTATGGTTCCTATTTTACACTTAAATGTTTGACCCATTTTTCTTGGTGTGTGGTGTGGTGTGAGGAGTAGGTCCAACTTTATTTTTTTTCAAATGGCTATTCAGTTGCCCTAACATTAGTGAACAGTCTATATCTACATTGTTTGGCTTCTTACCAAAAACAAGACTTTTCATTTACCTTTTTTTCACACCTACTTTGCTGTGACTGAATATAAATAACAGTTCTCTGTTTTCCTTCCTATAGAACACCTTTTTTAATTGCAAAGATGTCTTTCACTGTGCTACCTCTGCTTTCCTCAGCAACACCAACAGCCTGGCAGACAACTAATATTTGAATGAATACAGGCTGCTCAGAGCTCTCTAGGATTTTCCATTGAGCGATAACTGGCTAAAAAGAAATCCTGACTATAATCAGATTCCTTTGAAGACTGTTCAAACCAGAGATGTCTTCTAGCTCTCGCTAGCCATACTACCAGCTATCGCAGAAACTGAAGGCTGCCAGCTGGGCCCTTCACTCCTGAAGCAGTCCAATTCAGATTGCTTTCCTCTGTGCACATGCATGTCACCTGGCACCTCTGCTTTGTCTGACAGTATAGGATATTACTTTTGTAATTTGGAATGGGAACCATAATATGTAAAAAAAAAAAAAAAGTCATTTGGATTCCCCATCGTGCAGTGGCCCATCCAGAACCTCATTTACTTGGGAAAGGGATTGTGGATGAATGATTTGGGGAACATGCATCCTCAGTTTGAAATACCGTCCCAAATTTTTTTCATCTAGGGAACCTAGGGAAAGCCCTAGCATGTTCTACCTGGGAGAAAGTGTCCAAGCAGGCAGATGAAATTGAATTTACTTATCTCCTTACTAGCACTTTTGAAGCTACTTGGGCTAATTTTACAGCTCCTTGATAAAAGACTTCCTTCCACTTTGAACCATTGCTGATGATCTTTATCTCTTAAACTTGTCTAGGGCATCTTGACTGTTCTTTACTATTGGACCTTTTTTTGGGATCATATTTCTTATCTCTGCCTTCAGACTTTCCCCTGATGCTGGTAGGTAGTATATTCTTTGTCCAGTACCAATTTCATTTAAAGTTATTTTGCCTGAAACCAATTTTGGCCAAATACAATTTAGTTGAAAGCAAACTGGTCAACTGGATAAATTGGTTAAAACAATGATTCGATAAAAAATGAATACTGTAAGTTTTTTAAGTAGTGGTAATTTTAGTGTGTTTTGGGGCAATTAAATACTTCTGATTCATGTCCTAGGGATTTTTCTAGTTTTCACTTTATATTTCAAATTAATTCTTAGCTACAAGAGTACTTTTTTGCTTGTGATACCAGAAAGTTGAAACAACCTAAGTTGACCAACAATAGAATATTTGAACAAGCTTGATCTTAAATATAAGGCAATAAGAGGTTAATTGGAACAACCAAACCATCGAGCGATAAGATAGAAACATGTTTCCTTTGTTGTTTCTTTCTCCTCATTAAAAAGGCAGTGCGTGTGCAGTACAGGACACTCAGAAAAATGTAGATAAGGAATAGAAGGACAAAAGAAAAAAAAGCCATAAACTAACTCACCCAGGGATAACCACTGTTGTCCTTCAGTGTCTTTTCAAATACATTTTATAGACATAAACTCTGCATACTGTTTGTAACCTGCCATTATTTAAGCATTCTCCAATTATTGATTAGTTCTTTTCCAGGATTTGGTCCCTTTCTGCATTTTGTCTTGCATCTGTGGACTAGTCCACCTTAATTGGGGATACATTTTTATTCTCTTTTTCCTTCTGTCCCTCAATCCTGCCTAGGTTCACATGTAGACTGGGCCCCAAAGTTCCCCCTACTTTTTATTAAAGGAGACAATTTTTAAATGAAGCCATTCTGCCAAGCCTTTCTATGGCCTTAGAAAAGGGGCCCAGTTCCAGAGATCCTGTGGGACTCTCCCATTATACATAAAATAATTTTGGAGTTCATGCTCGATTATATTATGTGTATATATGTGTAAAGTAGATGAGAATGAAGTGAAGGGAGGCATTAGATTGGATTCCCACTAAAATGAAAATAAGGAAGCATTGAAACAGAGAAATTAATTATCATTGGAGGGAAATTATTTAAAGAGATTTTCTCTAAGTCAGTGTTGGTGAATATATGCCATGTGCTGTGCCTAAACCCAAGCCCATGGTAGACATCACTAATCAGCCATGGCACTATTTCTCATTGGCTCCACACTCAGCTTTGGATGTTTTTCTGAAATGGGTTTCTAGGTAGCTGTATCTATTGGAGTTGCTGTGGAGGACAAAGTTTTGACTGTTCTTGCTCTACAATGTTGCATTAAAGTTTTTTTAAATAGTGGGTTGAACAAAGTTATAGTGTTTTATATCTGATAGATAATTTTCCAATGATATGATGGGATGTGAGCAAAGAGTAATTATCTGAATCTCAGGCAGAGCACATGCCTCACAGTTAAGATCATGGAAGCAGCATAATTAAATTATGGGTTTGTTATGGAGTAAAAACAGTGTCACAATAATATTCATCATTATAAATTGCCCATGGCCATGGTGATTGACTCTGCAGCCATTCATCCTACCCCAGATGATTAGTCTAAGCAATCATGGTTAATCCCATTTTCTTTGTCAATGAAGGGTTAGGAATGGCCTGTAACATATTCTGCCCAATGAGATGTGAAGGGAAATCTGGAGGAGGGCCAGAGTGCTTCTGGGAAAGGGCTTCTTGTCCCTAAAAAGAGAGAAAAGAAAGAGATGGTGCCTCTTCTCTGATGATGATGTTCTTTCTGACTATGATGACTAGAACTGCCCAAGCCATTTTAGGAGAAACTAGCTTTGGATGAATCTTATCTAGAAGATGGCAGAGCAGAAAGAGAAGAAACCTGAGCCCTTGATGACCTTACTGAACTGCTGATTATATTGTACTTGGTCTACCTTACCTCCGAACTTCCAGTTCTGTGAGATAATACAGTTCCTTATTGTGTAAGCCAGCGTGATCTGGGATTTTGTCACTTGCAGCCAAAAGCATTCTGAGTGAGTGATATACCCACTTTGTCCCAAGCAGATTCACATCAGATGGATTTGATTTTATTCTGATAAAATCAGGGGTCCTTTCCTCCCCTGTCTTTGGCTTCATAAAGGGGGTGCGGATTCTAACTGACTAATTCTTGTCTCATTCTTTTCTCAAGGTCTCTGCCTTAGACCAGGGTTTTTCACAGAAAGCAACAAGGAACTAGCCAGCACCCACGTCTTCTGGAGCTTGGGGGACTGTTCAAATATCTGGTGGTGTGACTGCTCCTGTTGGTCATTCATTCATTCCTTTTCCTGACTCTGATTCTGATTTCTCACTTTGATCTTGGTGCCTGCTCTTGCATAGTTTGCATCTTAGCTTGTCCTCAAGAATGTTCAATAGATTTATTTTCCTCTTTTCCTTGTCCCCTCTTTCCCCAAATCTCCCTCATCCACTCCTTCCTTCATTTGTGACTTTACTTTGTGGCCAACGGGGGCTATTCTAAGCAAATGTGTATAATCTTTGCCAGAAATAATGGTGAGTTAAATTAAATAAGTAATCATACAGCTATTTGGTCTTGACTGGTATGGTAAAAAGGAAGAATAGTTCTGCACTTGGTCCATTCTCCTGTTTAGTGCCTTTTACTCGTGGCATAGAATAGGGAAATGATCTAGGGGTCACGGCCCTTGAGTCTGCATTATGGCTTCACTATTTGCTACCTGAAAAATCTTGGGTGAGTCACTTAAAGACACTGAGTTTCTTCTTTGAAATTTACCAATTCTTGTCTAATTTTTTTAGTAGTATTATGATTCAAATGAAATAAGGTAAACATGGAAATGAAAGAAACTTTTTAGAAAAAAGAATATTCAAGCTTGGTTGGATTTTCTGATTATTTTCCAGTGAACTAATGTCAAAGGCTCTAGAATCAGCCTTGTGTAGCTTGTTAGTCTGTAAAAAAGTAGTGGAGTATGATATGGGGCATAATAATAGAAATAATTAAGGATTGAAATTGGTATTTTTGTGGCAACTTATAGCCGTAAATGAAAAGAAAGAGCCACACAATGTGAAAAGGAAGTGAAGGTCAGGATGTTGAACTTGAGGCTTATTTCTAGTTCAACCAGAAATTCTGGTGAGCCAAGCAAGGTAGGGGAAAGAGAAACCAGCAGAGGAAACACCCCCCTCTAGTGGCCAGCAGCCAGATTCTATACTTGATTGCTAAGATGGGTGAGGAGAATGGATGACTCCTTAGGATGTTTAAGTTTCTTAAGAAGGGTCCTGGGAATCTAGAGTTAGAACTCTTAGGGAAGTTCTTCAGCTCCAGCTTTGTTTATCAAGAGAGCTAACACATTTCACAGAATAAGTAGTATCTTGGCACTCTCATGTGGAATTGATTGAAAAATATAGAGGCTATGGTTGTTGGAAGAGGTTTAGTTTATTTTTATGTAGGCCATCTAGAGATCATGAAAATTAGGAGACTTGTTGCTAAACTTCTTATTGTTTCTGAGACAATACAGTGCGTGCCTTTATAAACCCATTTGTAGGGGGATAAAGCCTATATTAAAACTTACGGATAATGCCATAGCATAGTTTTGTCTATATTCATATAAAAGAATGTCTGTGGATTTCCTAAGTATGATTTTTGATTTGAAAATTTTAGTGACTATCCTGAGAACTAAATGTTTAATTTGCATCTCAGAAGTGATTTAATTGCTACCTGTAGAAAAGTGGTGAAGTTGGGTATATTAAAATAACATATTACCCACAATTCAGTGGCTTAATAGGAACACCTAATACATTGTTGAAGGACAGCTCATCCTAAGGATGTATGTTGTTAATAATAATTGCATATAACAATTGTAATTATTACAATAGAAATGTCAAATTCCATTGAATTTTTTACTGTTTCAACTCCTGTTTGGGAAGAATTCTTTTAAGTTTTCTTAAAGATCTCTGAAGAGGCAAAATTTCAGAGAATAAAATTTTTATGGTACTGTGTTAGATCTAAGGAAAAGCTGAATTACTATTCAACTGCAATACAGAAAAGAATGATGAAGGCACAAAAAAGTAAATTCTGATACAAAACTGCATTATGAAAGTGTCATTTCAAAATTTTTAATGTCAAACTTCCTTGAAGTTTGCCCCAAAGGAAAGAAATTTGAAACTTATAGTAGAAACAGCCTCTCAATAACTTGATGTTTCTTGTGAAATAAAAATGGAAAGATTATCTGGAAAATATAAACTTGTACATGGGTAAAGTGAGATTATAGAGTTATGAAATTAACCTTTGTGCATAGTTGTGGAACTCATGTCCTTAGTTTACGGTTATGCTTTATAAACATACCTGACTTGGGGAAAGCAGAACGAGGTCTGGCAGTCGATCAGGATGTGCCTACTGGGCAAAACCAGACATAGGAGGAAGGAGTCAGTAATGATTCATTCTTACCTGAGAAAAAGTCAGTATGGAATAATGAAGTTCAGAGAAAGAGTTATGATTATGGTAAGGGAGCTCACAGATACTGTTGAAGACAAGTCAGTTAGAACTGATTTGCTAATATATATGGGGACAATAAACCAATTAGATGGTCTCTTTATTAAATTAGTGTGACATTAGTAGAAGGTATCTGAGGGAAGTGAAATAGATGATAAGGTAGGTGGTAATTAAACTTTCAAAGAGGTACTACATACAATATGTATGTTAGTGATAGCTTAATTCTGTAAATAAGGTTTGATATTAAGAATTGATAAGATGCAATATTGGCATTGCTAAAATTAGGCAAGTATTGGTTTATGTTGCAGCATAAACCAATGTGTTTGCAGCAAGTGGGCTTAAATAAAGAGTCTCCAAACCTCACTTGAAATGTCAGACAAAGTATGAGGACATTAATTCACATTTGTATAGGATTTTACAGTATTTGGAATGTTTTCACATACTTGATCTCATTTGATTCCTATCAGAACTCTGGGTGGGGGATCGTAGCACAGGTTCGATTATCCCAGTTTTACAAATAAGGCAGTGGAGGCGCAGAGAAGCTAGTAGACTTACTAAAGAGTAAATAGGGACTAAACAGAGTGGGACTTAAACCCAGGGCTCCTTACCAAAATGCCTTTGTTCACTATATTATTTCCCCTGGTTGCTGTATCAAATGACCAAAATCTGAGGGGCTTAAAACGACAGCAATTTGGGCCGGCTGAGTGGCTCATTGGTTGGGAGTTGGCTTGGGAGCGCGAGCTCTGAGTAGCAGGGCCACCAGTTCGGATCCCACATGAGGGCCAGTGATGCTACACCCTCTACAGCTAAGATGGTGAACAACAGCTCGACTTGTAGCTGGGCTGCCGTGAGTCGCCGGCGACAGTGTAGGCTGCAGTGGGGCTGCTGTGAGCTACCGTGAGTGGCCGTCCAATGGCCGGCGACCAATCTGCCTCAGCTGGAAAGAGTGCAATGATCACAATACCAACATGGGCCAGTGAAGCGACGTCCTTCACAGCTAGACTGAAGAACAAGGGGACAGCAACTTGTCTGTTCCCCTCCCCCAATTCCCCAATAAAATCTTTAAAAAAAAAACCACAGCAATTTACTCTGTCACAGTTATGGAAGTCACAAGTCCACAAATCAAGGTGTTGCTTGGGCTGCACTTCCCCTGGAGGCTTTAGGGACGACTCAGTTCTTTGCCTTTTTCAGCTTCTGGTGGCTGTTGGCATTCCTGAATTTGTGGTTGCCTCACTCCAGTCTCTGCCTCCGTGGTCACATAATGTCCTCCTTTTTTCTGTGTCTTTTCTAACTCAAATTTCCTTTTGCCTTTCTCTTATAAGAATTCTTATAAGACTGACAAGCCAGGATGACTTCCTCAGCTCAAGATCCTTAATTACACCTGCAAAGACCTTTTATTCAAATTAGGTAATATTCACAGGTTTCAGGCATTATGACATGGACATGTCTTTTCAGGGGCCACCATTCAACCCATTACATTCTTTATGTGCCATTTAATTCTGTATTTTCCTTTTGTATTGAAGAAATATTCTGCCTGAAGATGGGCAGTGGACTAGGGAATTTTTAGCTAGTATGTAGAGAGGAACTTTTAAGATATTTCCAGTTGGTGCTAAATGCTTAGTAACTAGAACTGAAACAATTAACACAAGAATTCCACCAAATTGTTATGTTAGCTTTTGCATTCACAGAACTTAAAAAATGGGACTAAACTAAGTTAAAGTAACGTTTGACTATTCATGATTAACAATATTAAAAGTAGACTTTTCTGTTTCTTGTATAATTGGGCTACAATGGGTATTCTAATTTGGATCATATAAATCAAGATCCATATATATAAACTCTGAGGGAAGGGACTTTTTTGGGGAGTCTCGTTCACAGATCCCTCGTGCAGTTCCTGACACATAGATGTGCTCAAACAATTTGCTGAATGAATGAAATAACTTTTTGTAACTCTCAAATCGGGCAGCTGTGAGTCCCTTTCTAGTTCCCTTTTTGGAGGGTCCTGAATCTCACTACCAATGAGATCTGCCATTATAGGAGAGCCCTCACTGACTCGAAGAGATGCCACTGGGAGTCCATTTCCTTTTGACAGAGCTACAACTTTTTCATCTGATCATCTTGAGCTCACGGCCAAAAAACTGTCATCCTTGCCTTATTCACATTAATAAAGTTAGTGAGATTCCTCCTTCCCATAGGTTCACTTTTCACTAGCATGAGCTCAGGTACCATTAGAGGCGTTAGGTTGGGGCTCCATATACAGTTCTTCAGGTCATCAGTGTTGTACCTTAATCTCTGAGGAGGGTTTAGGCTTTTATCCTCTCAAACTTCGGCAGTTTTGACTCTCTGATGTGGCTTTTAGTATTAACAGATAAAAGACCTGCAATTCTAACTAATTCACTGTGTGCCATCTTCTTTTTTGTAGTATCTCAAATACTGCTTCTGACCAAACTTAGAATATTGTCATCATCCCTAATAGAAGCACAAAGAAGTTAAGTAACTTGCCCAAGTTCACACCAAGACCCAGGTAGTCTTTCTTCAGAGGCTATTTCTTATTCCTCCCCAATGCTAGCCTTATGTTCATTCATTTGTAAGGAACCTGTTCGTTCTTTTGGGAAGCTTATATATTTTTTCTTTTTAAACTTCACCAGGATATGTCTAAGCATATACTTTTTTTTCCATTTAGCCTGCCTGGCATGCAGTGAGTGCTTTTGATCTAGCAGCTTTAGTCTCCTTAGGGAAGTTCCCTGTACTAAGTTTTGACTATTGCTTTCTCCACGATGGTTCCTCTTGAACTTTTTAAATGTGCAGTTAGGCCTCCTAGACCCACCTTCTAATTCTCTTCATTCAGGAATTCCGTTTCTTTTTATTTTTGCTCTGGATAATGTGATAACTTTGTTTTTCGGAAGGGTCTGTTCTACTTTTGACTTATTTGATATTTAAAATTTATAAATCATGTTTAAAGAATTTCCTAGTCTATGATTATATTCTGGTTATTCCTTTGCATTCAATAGCATATAAAAATAACCAAGTAAATGCAGTGTATTTTAGAAATGTGAGGCTATTCAACATTAGGATGTATTAACATATCACTTAAATAGATCAAAGGAAAAAAATCTTAGACTGATTTCCACAGATATTACAAAGGTATTTATCTGATAAATCTATACCATTCTTGATTTAAAAAAACACACAAAGAAATAGAACGCAGCTGTTCATAATCCAGGAAATGAAGGGTACTTTCTTAACAGCCATTGGCATACTTAACATTGGAATACTTAAGCAATATTTCCTAAGTGTGTCCTGTGAACTGTGGATCTGGCGTTTTATATAAAAAAGTGTATCTTGCTATAAGAGGGTACAGCAAGATGTTATAACAAATACCAACATTTCAGCAACTTAATACAACAGAAATTTCTTGCTCTCCTGTAATACTCCAATGTGGGTGTCGCTGGTTGATAGACAGTTTTTCTCTACATGGTGATTCAGGGAGTTGAGTTCCTTGCATCATATGGCTCTGTTTCCAGCTGGTGGAAAAGCAAAGCAGGGTGCAGAATGCATATCGTTTCCATTCACATGTCCACATTCTGTGGCCAGACTAGTAACTTCACTGTTTGTCAGGTGTGTGTTTCGGGAGGGGAATGGGGAGTAGTACCTGGCAGGGCAGCTGTCCGTGGGGAAGCAGGTAGGTGTCCTCGTCTGTAGTTGGCAGGAGGGCCACCTGAATGGAGGACGCTGTGGTCTTGTGTTTCCAATTTTAAAATATACATATCCTTTCACCTTAAAGCTCCACTTCTAGCAATTTTCTTGCAGATGTATCACAAATGTGTGCGTATATATATTTTAAGGGTCTACCAAGCAATACTATAATAGCCAAAAATTGGAACAATTCTGAATGTCCACCAAAGTGGACTAGATGAATAAGTTCTTGTATATCCATACAGTGGAACGCTCTTCTGCCACTACAGGGAACAAGGTGGTTATATGTGTATTGTCCGAGGAGAGAAAATCAAGGTAAAAAACTGTGTGCATGGCTACCATTTATTTAAAAACAAGTATATACACATATGCTCATATATTCATAGAATGCTTGTGGAAGGATCACAAGAAACTGGTAACTGGTTGCTTCTGGTTAGAACTGTAAGGTCATGGGAGGTTGGGATAGGAGAGACACATGCTTTTACTGTCTACTCTTTTATACCTTTTGATATGCACCTATTGAAACATATATAAAAGTCAGTTGTAGAAGTATAATAACATGGAAAGCTGGTAATATATTGTTGCCTGA